ATAGGGCGGGTCCAAATCTGGCGGAAGATGTACAGGCTCGGCGGAGGATGCCACGCACGGAGCGGCGAGGATGGGCCAGCTAATCAAACCAGTAGGCGATTGACTTGACATGATATCCCACGCTTCCTACCTACACTCACCTGCCCGTCTCCAACTGTTTCTGCTGCCTGTACTGTACGGCATCTTTTTTAGCAAGTTTCATTCATCCGTCCCCTGCAAGTGTCTTCCCTCCCCCCCCCTTTCCCCTCGACCATCGCACGCACACACCCCAGCCCAAATTATGTCATGCATCGTGGCATCGCGGTACCGGGGCCCTCACCTGTAAATTTGATGCGTGTTGTCTCCACCATCGAGACATGGCCACAAGTTGCCCATATTCACTCACCGTCGCAGCTCGCCCTGTATATATAGGTCCTGGGCTGCTAAAGCCTGCCCATGAGGTGCGCTTGCTGCCCGACTGGGTACTGTGACCTGTACAACAACATGCTCTTCACCCAACCGCCTTCTCTTTCCACCTGTCCCTCGTGTCAGCGTTCTTCACTTTCAAGTCCATATTCGCTGTCGCGCGCGTCGATACTGTCTTGCTCCCCTTCTCTTTTTCACATGATCGCTTCAACTCCAGAATGAGCTCGTCTTCATCCTCGCGTAAACAGCGCAGAGGCAAGAGCATTTCGAAGCTCGCTTACACGAACGCCGTTTATTTCCCCAACGAGAGAATATACCAGGGCGACACACCAGGAGCGCTCAACTATGGATACACCAATCATGTGTACTACGCTTTCGCAAATGTCTCTCCGGATGGTGGTGTTTTCGTGAGTCGGCTGGCTCACGCTAGTTGGAACAACACTTTACTGATTTGAACCCTCCCAGTTGAGCGATGAGTGGGCGGATGCGGGGGCGCCGGTCGATGGCGTCCAAGGGGGCCTTGGGTCTCTCATGCATCTCAAACAACAGTACCCGCATCTCCAGGTTGTTCTGTCCATTGGCGGCGGCAGTTCCTCGGCCATCTTTCCTGTCGTGGCCGCGAGCACTATCTGCAGAGATAATTTTGCGCGCTCAGCAAAAGGGTTAGTTGATGCGTCTGGCCTCGACGGCATTGACAGTAAGTCAGCAGACCAAAACGACCAGCTAGGCAACGATGTTGACATTTGCTCAGTTGTGTGGGAGTATCCCTCAGACTCCCAGCAGGGCCACGACTTTCTGGCTCTGCTGGCGACGATACGTCTTCATCTGCCAGAGGACCAATACTTACTCACCGCTGCCCTGCCGGCGAGCAGAATGGTGCTTCAGTATATTCCCCTCCAGGCTTCGGCCGAGTATCTCGATTTCGTCAATCTTATGGCATACGACTTCTTCGGCACGTGGACGCCAAAGAGCGGACATCACTCCCAGTTGTACGCCCCTCAGAAGGACCAAGAATCTGGCGCTACGGGCGTGCAGTACCTGATCGCCAAGGGCGTGAATCCGGGGAAGATTCTCCTCGGCATCCCGCTCTACGGGCGAAGTTTTCTGGGCGCAGCTGGGCCGGGCCACAAGTTCAGAGGGGGCGGTGGTGATAATGGCACATTCGAGTACAAGCAATTGCCACGAAGCGGTACCAAGGAGACGATTGATAAAAAGTCCATCTCGGCGCAGTGCATCGGCGCTGATGGAGGATTCGTGAGCTATGATAACCCCGAGACTGTCAAGGCCAAGGCTCAGTTCTGCAAGCAAAAGGGGCTAGGGGTGAGCAGACGAACATGGCCAGACGTGGCGCTGACTGTGGTGCTTTAAGCTGACTTATGCCTGTAGGGCCTCTTCTATTGGAACGGACCGGCAGACGGTAAAGGGTCGCGCAGTCTTGTCGCGGCTGGCTTCCAAGCACTGCACTCTTCATGAGGCCTCTGAGCGGCCCAACCTCGGGTTGATCCCATAGATCCGCCCCGACGGCCCTTTCTGAGGGGTGGGAAAGCAGTATATTTGGGCTGTTGTGTAGACGAGCCAGGTTTGTGCCATCGAGATTCAAACGCAATGAGCGGCACTGCGTTGAACTGCTGGGACGGATTTTCAAAAAATGAGGCTGGCGATGGGAATCTATAGACGGACGGTGGCAAGGCGTTTTTTTTGGAGCGGGGATACCAGGCGGTTCATTAACAAGCAAATCACAGCCACTTGGCTGCTGCACATTGTTGTTTTGCTTTTGCGACAAACATCGGATCCGAGGAAGAAGCGCATTGGGGCCACGGAAAGGGTACACATATATTAACCCTCTTTGGCAACAACATTCCAGCAAAGTTATAGAAGGGAAGAGAGAGTCAAATCGAACGGCCAGGACTCAGGGGCCATGTCAGAATGGCGGTACAAACCTGCGGTTGCCGCTGGATGAGAACACTGTGAAAGTGCAAGGCCACAACTGCTCCATCGCGATGATGGTATGCAAATGCATGAGGCCGTGATACTTGGCATGGTATAGCCCAGCTGCTGGAGATGCCACCCACAGTGGAGCTCGAGCTGTACCATGTAAGACGCGGCGGATAAATCCGCAATAGGCATCTCTGATTGAGTCTTCGGAAGGTGGCTCCCGAAAGACCTGGCCAAACGACAAGGCAAATAGACGGGGGCCAGGTCTCGCACGGTTCGACGGTCAAATCTTTTTTTTTTGCCCTGCTCGGGCCACTCGGCCGTTCTCGAGGCGGCGCCCTGCATCGTGTGGCGAACAGGGCGTTCCATGGTCAGTCAGTCAGCCAGCCTGCAGACCTGCAAGGCAGGGCGCACGAAATGCAGGCCTGCATGAGGTAGGCACCTTAACCTGCCTTGCCTTAGGCACGGCATTGGCATAGCCTTCTCCCTTCAGGGCCAGGTACATGCCTCGTTGGAGGCTTGCTCTCCGGCGGCGCACTGGATGCCGACTGTGGCAGTTAGTTTTCGCTGGGGTCGTACGGCAGGTGATGGGGGCGTTGTTGCGTTCCTGCATCTAAGATGAGACATGTGATGCGTGGATGGAGCTTAACACGGTCTTGGATCGCGTGGTAGCGGGCTCTTGGTGTGGGTGGAGGGCGCCTTGTGTAGTAGGTCTAGATACCTAGGTAAGGTACTTAGGTGGGCAAGGTAGGTACCTAGGAAGGTAAGGACTGTATCGATGTAATCACAGGCAGGTCACCGATTGGGTTCCGCGCCAAGGTCCCACACACGGCTGGCCGCCATCCATTCCAGGCGGCAGTCAGTGACAAGAGTGCCTTTTAGCTGGCTGGAGCTGGAGCTGGAGCTGGAGCAGGCAGCACGTGCTGATAGCCGATAACAAGAGGCTACGTACTGATAGACCAAGCCAGCGTCTAATCGTCGGCCGGCAGAGCTTCAGTGCATTGGCAGCCCCGAGAAGCAACGAACGAGACAGCAACAGGGCCCTGTTGCCATTTACACGCGTAGCAGCGGCATCAGCAGCAGCAGCAGCAGCAGAAGCAGTAGCATTTGGCTTCGGAGTTCCAGACATTGCGAACATGAATGGCGTAGCGCTCGATGATCCCACGTCGCTGGATGCTGGTCAGTGCCATCATGCCCTTGGGGGCTGCCTCCTGGGACTTCCCCCTCCCCGGCTGACGAGCTCGCAGTTGACTACGACCCAATCGATCACTTGAATCTCCTCTTCTCCCACCCCTCGACCGTCACATCGATCAGCCGCGTTTCCCAAACCCTCCACGAACACAAGAATGACGTCTCCACCGACATTGCCGAGCTCGAGCTCGCCCAGGCCTACGGGCCCGATTCGAGCCTCGAGCGTATGCAGTCCGCCCAGGCCGAGCTCGCCCAGCTGTTCCGCAAGATCGAGACGGTGCGGTCGCGAGCCATCGAGACGGAGCAGAACATTACATCGATGACGGCCGACATCAAGCGCCTCGACGGCACGAAGCGCAACCTCACGCTCAGCATGACGGCCCTCAAGCGGCTGCAGATGCTGACGACGGCCTACGAGCAGCTGCAGGGCCACGCGCGGACGCGGCAGTACCGCGAGTGCGCGAGCCTCTTGCAGGCCGTGCTGCAGCTCATGAAGCACTTCAACAGCTACCGCAGCATCGAGCAGATTGCGACGCTGAGCCGCGGCGTGTCGGAGCTGCAGCGGACGTTGCTGGAGCAGGTGTGCGAGGACTTTGAGCTGGCGTTCGCCAAGGACGAGGTGTCGGCGCGGCGGGGCACGCTCGTCGAGGCCTGCCACGTCATGGATGCCCTCGGCGACGCCGCGCGGTCGAGGCTCATGACGTGGTACGTGAACACGGAACTGCGCGAGTACCGACAGGTGTTCCGGGGCAACGACGAGGCGGGCAGCCTCGACAACATCGGCCGGCGCTATGCGTGGTTCAAACGCATGCTCAAGACGCACGACGACGAGCACTGCCGCCATCTTCCCCCCGCACTGGCGCGCCAACGAGATGCTGGCCGCGGCCTTTTGCGACGGCACGCGGGAGGACTTCAAGGGCATCCTGGAGAGGAGCATGCGCCGGACCGAGGGCCCCAAGCTCGACGTCAACCTGCTGCTGAGCTGCCTGCAGGAGACGCTCGACTTTGAGCACGGGCTCGAGAGGCGCTTCGCCGACGGGCCCAGGGCCAGCATCGACACGCTGAGCTCGGCCGACGACCGGGCCTCCAACTTTCACGGCTCCATCTCGGCGGCCTTTGAGCCGTACCTGAGCTTGTGGGTCGAGAGCCAGGACAGGCAGCTCGCCGCCATGATTCCCAAGTACCGCAGCCAGCCGCTGCTCCCCGACGACGAGGAGTTCACGCCGCAGGCCGTCATCCCCTCGGCCATTGAGCTCTTCCACTTTTACAAACTCACGCTGTCACAGTGCGCCAAGCTGTCTACGAGCGACCGCCTCCTCGACCTCGCCAAGACGCTCGCCAAGTACCTCGACGAGTACGCCCAGCAGGTGCTGCTCCATTTTCTCTCGAGGGGAGGCGCGCAGGGGCCGCCGCTGCAGGACATAGTCATGGTCATGAACACGGCGGATTTTTGGTCAACAAACGCGAATCAGCTCGAGGAGAACATCAGGAAGCGCATCGACCCCGAGTTGAGGGACAGAGTCGACCTCTCGTCGCAGGCCGATGCTTTTTTGGGCGTCGCCAGCGCCGCCGTCCTCGCCCTCGTGCGCAGCGTCGAGCACGAGTGCGCGGGCGCGTGGCGCGAGATGCGCAACACGAACTGGGGCGCCATGGAGAGCGTCGGGGATCAGAGCTCCTACGTCGGCGAGCTTCTCCGGGCCGTCAACGGCAGGGCCGAGGCGATTTTGGAGCTCGTCGTCAAGCAGCAGTACGCGAGGGCGTTCTGCGACAACTTGGTGGACCACATGGCGTCGGCGTACATTGCCAACATTG